GTGTGTGTGTGTGTGTGTGTGTGTGTGTGTGTGTGTGTGTGTGTGTGTACGTGTACACCAGAGTGGGGGACATTAGTAGAATGTTTACCCATAGCTTGTTTGATGCCGTGGGTTTATTCAGCACCTTGCAGTGTAGAGGTGAACTTCACTCAAATTGTGATAAGGTGTATCTCTATATTCACTGAAGAATCTCCTGTCTCAATATTGTGTAACAGTTGTTCTCCATCACTGATTAATAAAGAGCTGAATAGCCTATAGCTGGGGGGGACTTGCAATCCCAGGAGGAGGTTCCCAGGTGGAGCAGAGAGAGAAGGGTATCGGGCCAGGAGAGAGTGTCCAGAAGGACAGAGATGGAATAGGAGCAGCCAGGGTGAGAGCAGATGGCAAGTCACGGAGCATGTAGTTGAGAAGTAGGCCAGGCTAGCACAGTCGAGTTAGAATAGATGAGAATCTGCCCGGCTCTAGTGCTTAATGCTTTTAATAAATTTAACAGGTCTCCGACTCATTATTTGGGAGCTAGGGTGGGTATTAGAAAAAGCACCAATTAATTCAGCAGTGTAGCAACAAAAAGATGTCATTATGAGGTCTGGGACTAAATACTGTCTATGCTAAGATACTTTGCATTGTGCTTTAGGTGATAAAGCTGGATGTTTGGGTGCTAGTTCTGCTGCATAGCTAAGAAGTTGTGGGAAGTCTTCTCAGGCTCTTTAGCACACTGTTCATTGTATAAGGAGCATAGTCAGAGTCCCAACTGTAAGCCATACAAAGATCAATGCTTCAGCCTTACATCTCTTTAATCAGATAGCTTAGATTAGTACTGGTGTCTCTGGGAGGACAGGGTCTTACACTTAGGGTCTTGGTTGGCCTAATGAGGGTTTGCTGTGGGCATGCCATGTATCTGTGTTTGATCAAGGATGATAGACAACCATGGATTGCTGAGTTCATTAAGTGTGATAAAACTTTTTGAACCATAATTAGAGCTCCATATCAATATTAGCAGTACTTGACTTTGCAAAAAAAAAAAAAAAAAAAAAAAAAAAAAAAAAAAAACCTTTATTCTTGGTTTTTATTTGCCTTTTTTCTTTCTTACATTTCAGAGTTAGCTAGTGATTCTGGGGAAAGAACACATACCAGGAATTTTCTAAAGGAATTCTTTCTCTGTTTTCTACTCCAGCCTGACTTAAAAAGACAGAGCTGTCAGAGATTATTTTGACTTTTTAACAAACATTTGAGAACCTTTTTGGAATCTAGGTGTGGTAATGCTTACCTGTAATCCCAAGTTCTTGAGAGATAGAAACAGGAGGGACTGTCTCTGACATGAACTGATTGGCCTGCTCTTTAATTACCTCCCCCTGAGGGGGAAGCAGCATTACCAGGCCACAGAAGAAGACAATGCAGCCACTCCTGATGAGACCTAATTGACTAGGGTCAGAAGGAAGGAAAAGAAGACCTCCTCTATCAGTGGACTTGGGGAGGGGCATGCATGCAGAGGGTTGAGGAAGGGAGGGATTGGGACAGGAGGAGGGAGGGAACCACAGGGGGGATACAAAGTGAATAAAGTGTAATTAATAAAGAATTTTTAAAAAATTAAAGGAAGACTCAAAAAAAAAAAAAAGAATAGAGAATTCAGGCTGGAGAGATGGCTTAGAGGTTAAAAGCACTGGCTGTTCTTCCAAAGTTCCTAAATTCAATTCCCAGCAACCACATGGTGGTTCACAACCATCTAAGATGAAATCTGGTGCCCTCTTCTGGCCTGCACGTGTACATGCACACACACATACATTGTATACATAATAAATAAATCTAAAAAAAAAAAAAAGAAGAAGAAGAATAGAGAATTCTCTTACAGCCCAGGCTATATTAAACAAACACAGGACTAACTTGTATGATCTTATTTTTTTAAACATTTGATGTTTTCTTTCTGAGGATTGCAGGAGAATTATAGTGAAGAGGTTACAATCCTTAACTGTTTAGACTAAAGAGAACTAGATAGTGTGGGTCTTACATGCCCTTATCAAAGAACACAGAAAGACCTGTTGATATCACCTTCTTAGGAGGCCTTCCCAGATCATTTCATCAACACAGCTGCCAGACACCAGGGCTCCATCTCCAGCTTCTTAAGGGCAGGGGAGTGTAGGCTACCACTCATTAACCAAACTTTGCATACCATTCTAAGCATAATATATAATGTCTAAGGATTGGGGGCTTTATGTCATTTATTCCCGCATTGCCAGCTCCTCGTATAATGCCTAGCATTCAATTCCTTGAATAAATGAACAATTAAATAAGTGATGTTATTTCCCATATACACCAAGTAATTTTAAAGTTAAATGCCTCCTGGCAGAGTTCTCCTTATCGTTGTGCTAGGCAGTGTGTGTGATGCTTGGGTTGTCAGATATGATCTAAGTGGTAGGAATCTTAGTGTTTGCTCTTGGGCAAGCACTTAGATAAATTTTACTTCTGTCAGAGCATGTGTGATATAAAGAAAGGGAAGAAAGTAACTTCAATGCGATTGTAAAACAAAGGGGAAGCAGGTTTGTACCCAGAGAAATTTTGAGATTATATAGAGAAATAATATGGAAAGGGGAATTATTGGGACAGGAATCAGATTACAGTTTTGTAGTTTGGCTGCTGAGATGGTATAAGGACACATTTGGACAGAGCAGTTGGCTTACTAGGAAACAGAAGCTTAGGTAAAGATGAACAGGTTCATGACCACAGAGGTTAGCGCTGTTCGGAGGAAATGTGGGCTGTGTTGCCATATGGCTCCAAACTTCTGTTCTCTATTTAAAACTCTAATTACCTTGTCTTTTTCTCTATCACCTCTGTGCCATTGTGCCAACATGACACTGTCTCCTGTCCTGTGTCTTGTGACAAGTAAGGCACCTGTGAACACAAATTCTTGTTCTGCAAGGCCCAGAATTCTATTGTAACTGCTGCTTTGTCCCAGGAACCAAAGATGTTGAAAAGTCTCAAGGCTTTTGTTTTTCCAGTGCTGTAGATTAAAGCTGGGCCTTAGAGACATGATTTGCTTTATCACTGAGCTACATGCCTAGCCCTTCAGATTTTATTGAGAACTGTTAATAATGCATTCAAATAAACTTTTAGCAAAACAAAACAAAATTAACAATTTTTACTTTTTTCTGTCCCACTTCTTGAAGTGAGAAAGATCCTTTAATGTAAAATGTACAAGTGTTTTTTAAATATAAATAGAGGGTATTTATTTTATAAACATATTAATAGAAGCAATAAGTAAATTAGAATTTTCTTTTGATACTGTGGCAGTGGGCTTTGCTATCAGGTAGGCTTTATTTTGGTGGTGTAATTTTAGAAGTTCATAGAGTTTAATTTTAACCTACCATCTTATCTATTTCTAGTCTGTAAAACCTGTATTGTCCAGCACTTTGAAGACAGCAATGATTGTCCGAGGTGTGGCAACCAAGTTCATGAAACAAATCCATTAGAGATGTTAAGGTAAAGCAATATGTTCCATAATTTGTCTGATTTTAATTATTGTATATGTTTGTAGTCTTTTATTTATTATGCTATTTGAACATAACTTAGGTCGTAGGCATTTATAGTCTTTTTAAAGCATTTATTTCATTTTTAAATCTTTTAATAAAAGTTTAAAACAAGTTATATAATATTTAGGAAATGTATCTGCAATTAAAATGACAACATTCTCTTGGAATTTTCAGTCACTTCAGTTGAGTTCTTTTCAGGTGTAGATGAACTAGGTTGGATAAATTTATTATAATAAAATTATCAGGAAAGCAATAGTAGGAAAAAAAAAATGTGTGCTGGGAGGAAACAAACAGACCTGAGAATGTAAGGCTGATGTGAGGTGATTAAGAAAGGATATGTGGGAGACAGACTGAGGAGTAGCTGAGAGTAAGACTTGGTGAAAAGTGTGTGAATCAAGTAAGAGAAAGAAGTCAGTGCTTTGGCTTTGAGCCTGTTTGGGAGTGTTGTTTCGTTTAAAACTTTAAGAAAGTGAGACAGCTAAGGTCTATTCTGTGTCTCTAGAGAGTTGGATGAGACAGTCTTTGACATAAATGAGCAAAAGGAGGTGGCTGAGTTGTTTAGCATCTGTTGGAAATACAGATCTAGAGCTAAGGTATGAGACAAATTTAACTTTCCACACGTTGAGTTTCAAGCTACAGAGACAGACAAGAACCTTGGAAACATGGCCCATGGAAAACTAGAAAAAGTTGTGGTATAGAGAGCAACAGGGAATGCTCAGCCCTCCACATCTCTGGGTTCTGCCTCCAGTGGATTTGGCCAGCCATGGGTCAGATCTATTTGCAAGAAAAATTGCTTCTGTACTGAACACTTAATTGTCGTTATTCTCCAAACAATAAACTACATTATAACTTATTGTATGCAGACTGCAGCTGGTGTGATGTATGGAAAAGATGGGGATTAGACAGGAAGTCCTAGAGTGCTTTATGAGGGAGTTGACCATTCAGATTTGATGTCTGAAGAATCCTGGGCCCTGCTCCCCAACACTGGGGGATAAAGAAAAATGTTTGGGCACATTGAACAGAGGGGAAAAATTAAAAAGAGAAAAGGGAATTTCAGGGCATTGGTGTTAAGCCATGCTGTCAGATTGCTGCAAAACTGGTCAAAAGGGCCAGTTACAGGGAGCTAAGTAAGTAGCAGAGTATAACAGAAATAACAAACTGTGCTTTACAAAATTTTCAGGTTGACAGATTAAACAACAGAAAGTGTGTGTGTGTGTGTGGTGTGTGTGTGTGATTGTCTGTCTGCATGTATTTGTGTGTCTACACCAGGTATATGTTGAGTCCAGAAAGGCATTAGGTTGGGAGCTACAGGTATGGGCAGTTGTGAGCCATCCAACTTGAGTGCTGGGAACTGATCTCCAGTCCGCTGCCAGAGCAGCAAGTATTCTAAGCTGCTGAGCCATCTCTCCAGCTCCGGAAATAGCTTTAAAGGACACTTAAGGAAAAGATTTTCCCTCTTTAGATTTTTGAAGACAGGGAAGAGCAATGCTGCTAATAATAAGCAGGATGAAGATGAAGCAAGAGCAGGTATTGTAGAAGCAAGAGAATGGCCTAGAAAAAAAGAGTGATTATATCTAGAGAGCTAAAATGGCCAACCTGTCTAAATTTCTCAGAAAATGAAATGGAGAAAATTGATTTTTAGAAAAGAACCAGAATTGTAGGGATTTGAAGAGTGGGAATGTTAGCTGTTGCTGCATGACAAACCGCCCCTAACTTAATGCTTCATGGCAAGCACTCCTCACCGTTGGTATGAGCTAGTGAGCAATTTGACCTTGGCTTCCCATACTCCTGCCACTTCAGTTAACTACTGTGTTCTGCCGTGTGTTAGGATGGACTGCCAGTGGAGCCATCTAGGGCCACCTCAGCAGGGCAGTGGGCCTCTCCGCTAGGTGGTCTACATGGAGCACAGAAATGTAGTGTCCTTAAGACCTAGGCTAGGTCCAAGCTCAGGACTGCCTATCCAACATTGTTTTTGATCTAAGCAGTTTTCCAGTGTAGTCTTCTCAGGTTTGGGAGTTCTCAGAGATCTGGGTTCCACCTCTTAATCAAGGGGAGAATGGCAAAGGCATGTTCAGAGGGTGCACATCTAGAGAAGGCTGGGGACTTTGGGACCGTTTTCCCCATTGGTATGCACCAGTGGAAGGTGGCTAGCAGTGCTGTGCTCTGTGTGCAGGCAACACCGGTGTTGTGAGTACACTAAAGTCCTTTGCAGTCTGTGTTTCATAAGACGGGTAAGAACTCTCAAGCTGTCTGCATATTGAGTTTTGATCTCTTCATTGTCTATCTCCCCCCCCCCCCCAAGGCTGGATAACACACTGGAGGAAATTATATTTAAGTTGGTGCCTGGACTGCGAGAACGTGAGTTCTGTTTGGGTTCTACAGACTTCTTGTTTTTGTGTTTTGTATTTCTATTAAAGATTTCATGCTCCTATGGTTTTCATATTCTTCCTTTAAATTAGAAGAACTTCAGCGTGAATTGGAATTTTGGAAGAAAAATAAACCTCAAGAAAATGGACAAGGTAACTGTGTGCTTCTGACAGCTTCTCTCATTCCTCTGATTTTTGTTAGGTTGGTGGAGTAATATCTTTCCATACTCAGTTCTCCTGTGCAAAAGTCATGCAACCCTCCATGAGATTTCCTCTAAATCTATGTGGGTTTGCATGACTCCAGTTGAAGGTAATTGGAGAGAGGAAATTGGACTTTGGGAGGAAAAGGAAAGAGAAAACTGAATAGGTGATAATAGCAATAGTTTCAAGGCAGAAAAATCTGAAGAAGTAATGTTAGTGTGTACCTCAGATATTTTAATTTTACTTCACTTATAAAGGCACTCTAATAGGAGACAGGGGAGAAATGTGCCTCAGAGTCAAGTCAGGATCTGCTGTGCAGCAACACTCTGAAAGCAACACAGGTGGATCGCTGATGCTTCAGGCGTAGGTCCTGGATCTATCAGCAAGTATCTCTTGTAGTGTCCAAGTTTCTTCTCTGGCACACAGGTAATAATAATTTCATCAGGGCCTGTAAAGAGAGGGAGCTCATTGGCCAAAAGACTTGCCCCCAAAGCACGGGTACCTGAGCTTGATCCCCAGAACGCACATCAGAGAGTGGGGTGTGGGCCAGCAAGATGCAGTGGGTAGAGGTGCTTAAAAGAGGCTCTTCAGTCCCTCAAGATGACAAGAGAGATTTGTCCTCTGACACTCGCACACACATGACCACGCTATTTTTAAGTCAGCATTGAGAAGGCAGAGATAGACTGATCTCTAGAGCTTATTGGCCAGCCGGCCCAACCTAATTGGTGAGCTCCAGACCATTGAGAGATCCCATCTCAGGGGGAGTAGGGGGAGGTGAATAGCACTTGAGGAAGAGCACCCAAGATTGATTCCTGGCCTCCCTGAGCAGATGTGCATACACATGGATGATATTAGCACACAAACACACACACTTACACACAGACCAATAATTTCAGGAAAGTGGTCACAAAATGGGGCTGTTTGTATATATATTATCCACATGAAGGGATATCTAAATTGTAATATCATTCTTCATATTCTTAAACACAAGACTTCATTCAGGATGTCCTAAATACCATCAAAGTGGCCTGTATGCATTTGTGAACTTAGTCTCCCAGCCTTGGTTTCCCCGTTGTCTCATAAAATTAATGCCATTTACAATGGATGAGGAACTGCTGGGTCTCTTTCTCAGATGTAATGGGAATAATGGCTTTAATAATTTTACTTAACTGTAAAACTAATCCCTCATGAGGGGTGCTTTGATAGTAGTTTTGATGAGTATCAGGTAGCAAGGGGCTTTTTTTATACACAACAAAATGAATAAGGATGCTGAAATGACTTAATCAAAAGGTTCTACCTTTGTAGACAGTTTAACCTGTAAAAAAAAAAAAAAAGTGGATGATAGAAAGTAAATCAAATATTCCAGTTTTAACTATCATGGAGGCACATGGCATTGCCCTCAGAATTATAGGATAGGTTTAACCCATGATTTGTTTTGTATATGAGACTTATACACAAAATAGACATTTTGTATATCCTCTTACAAATTTTATCTCCCTTTTCCTATTTTCTTTTCAAAATGTTTTTGGATTTTGTCTTTAACTTAGGGGATGCTTTTCATTGAGCCAGTTTGGTTCATAAAAGATAGTGTCTGTACGTGGGCTCTGTGTGATACGGGTAGGAAAAGAAGAAAGAGCCATCTCTTCTCTTTCATAAGGCTTTTACTATACTGAACAAGGACTTGCCTCTCATTGGCAGGGAAGCTTTAAGTGTACTTCTTGGAGAGCTGGTTTTTCATATTTAGCTTAGGTAGATAGATTTCATCTGAAGATGTTTTCTGAATCTTACATAGTCACATTTCATTTACCACTTCATACGATATTTCCCCTTTTTACCTTTTCCCCTGGCACCATAATGGTGAGGATGGTAACTCTTTGTATTTGTTGCTTTCTCATTTCTGTGATAAAATACATGACAAGAAGCATCTAGGAGGGGATGGAGAGGGAAGAAGAAAAGAAGTTGATTAGTCTGTGGTTGACAGTTTAGGGGTACTGTCATAGGAGAAAAGGCATGAGAGCAAGAGCAAGGCATTCCTGGCCACACTGAATCCATGTCACAAAGGAGAACAGAAAGTGGAGCTGGGGAGTAAAACCTCAAGACCCACTCCCAGTGACCTACTTCTTCATCACGGCTCTACCTCCAAAAGGTTTCATAACCCATCCAAACAGCACCACCATTGAAGTATATGAACCTATGGGGGGATTTCTTGTTCAGGATGAGCTCACTGCATGTCTAACACATTGTTCAAGATATTCCATAAATGCATCAATAAACACAGTTGCATGCATGTAACATTTTCAGTAAATTTTATGTTATGTATAGTATTCAAAGTTTCTTAATGGAATTTTACCATGTTAAATGGTTACAAAGTATTTTTTAAATCTATTTTTTTATTCTGTAGTTGATTTTGTAAATAATTTGAAATTCTGAGAACTTAGAGAAGATTCTTTATGATTTGAAAGTTAATACTTGGCTTTTAATTTTAATATATCTGTTACTGAATTTGGGAGTATTTTGCACCCTGTTTACCTTCTGAAGTGGCCTAATCCCTGATTTCAGTTTCTGTGACCGAATATAGTTAATCCAAAATCTTTCCTTTGGATTTTCTAGTAAGTATAGAAGTTTTACTGTTAAGTTTCTGATGGCCTTTGATAAGTATACTGTTATAGTTTCTGATGTTTTTTGATGAAAAAGTATTAGTATTTCCAGTTTTTCTTTTTTATTAATATATTTTCTTATTAATTACAATTTATTCATTTTTTTATCCCAGCTGTAGCCCCCTCCCTCATTCAACCCCACCCTTCTCCTCCCATGCCCCTCCCCCAGTCTGCTGATAGGGGCGGTCCTCCTCCCCTTACCTCTGACCCTAGCTTATCAGGTCTCATCAGGGCTGGCTGTAATGTCCTCCTCTGTAGCCTGGTAAGGCAGCTCCCCCTTCAGGGGGAGGTGATCAAAGAGCCAGCCACTGAATTCACATCAGAGACAGCCCCTGTGCTCCTCACTAGGGAACTCACTTGGAGACTGAGTTGCCATAGGGCTACATCTGTGCAGGGGTTCTTGGTTACCTTCATGCATGGTCCTTGGTTGGAGTATCAGTCTCAAAAAAGACCCCTGTGCCCAGATTTTTTTGGTTCTGTTGCTCTCCTTGTGGAGCTCCTGTCTTTTCCAGGTCTTTCATCACCCCCTTCTTTCATAAGATTCCCTGCACTCTGCCCAAAGTTTGGTTATGAGTCTCAACATCTGCTTTGATACACTTTCAGAGGCCCTCTGTGGTAGGTTCCTGTCCTGTTCGCTGTTCTCTCCCTCTTCCGATGTCCATTCTGTTGGCCTTTCTGAATGAAGATTCATCATCTTACCCAGGGTCCTCCTTCTTACTTAGCTTCTTTAGGTGTACAGATTTTAGTATGTTTATCCTATATTAAATTTTTAATATCCACTTATAAGTGAGTATATACTCAGACCAGTTATAACATATTTTAGGTTTGTTATTGTTTTGCTGAGTATCATATTGTTGCTTGAATTTAAACTTTGGGTTTCACGAGTTTTGCTTCAATTATGCAGATGACATTTCAAAGGTTGACAAACCTAAAGCAGATGAAGAAGGTGATGATAACCAAGATGATAAAGACTATCATAGAAGTGACCCACAAATTGCTATCTGTCTGGATTGTTTACGAAATAATGGGCAGTCAGGGGACAATGTAGTGAAGGTGAGTGGGCAAGCTGGACTGTTATGAATTTTTCAACATATCAAAATGATTTCTTTCAAGGTTTTTTGTTGTATGTGATGCTATTGACTGCCATTCTCTACCTGGGAATGGCTAAGCCCTTGCTTTCCAGGTATCCTTGTCTTCCCATCCCCAACCATCTCAGGCCAATGCCACCATCTAGTGGCTAATTTTCAAACTGCAGTAGCCAAAACTCACTTCATTCAAGCAATGTCTTCAACTTTTAATCAGTTATCTTTAAGTTTACCCGTTTTAAAGTTTAGGTTGATTTTATGTGTGTAGCGGTTTTACCTGCATGTGCCTGTGCGTCATGTGTATGCCTAGTGCCAGCAGAAGCCAGGAAAGGCTGTTCAGTCACTGGAGTTACAGGTGGTTGTTGTGAGCTGCCATGTGGGTGCTGGGAATTGAACCTGGGTCTTCTGGAAGAGCACTGGCGCTCTTACCACTGAGAAATCTCTTCAGCCCTAAGTTACATTCTTCAGTCCTTTACTTTTACGTGAAGCTCTATAAGCCTCCCGTGTCATAGCTGATATATTTTATTAATAAAATAGTAGGTTTTGAAGTAAAGTTGTTTTATAAAGTTCCTGTGAACTGATAGAAATCCGTGGAGACTTTCATTATTTTCTACATAGTCCTCATTTCTCTTCCAGTTTCCCTGTGTCTGGTCATTGATCTGTCTCTTAAAAGATCTTAAAACTCGCTGCTTTCTCAATTGTTTGTTTTCCTTGGTGTTTAAATATTATTTAGTGTTTTCTGGTTTTTTTAATTGGCAGCAACTTTCATTCTCATTACAAGTGTCACTACTTGAGCTCTTACATAGTCTTTTGCCACTTTGTCCAGGCACATGTTTGCTCGCTGAGGTTGTTTTTCTCTGCACTTTGTTTTATTCATGCATTCATATTTATTTTTTGTTTCAGATTTTCTTTATCTGTGTAAACCTATAGGTTTTTTGGTTGAATTTCTTTACTGTTATATGACTAATAATGGTACTTTGTATTGGGAAATTAACAATTTTTAATTCAGATTTTTCAGCTTATCAGCCTCTTGCAACAATGAATATGTTTGAGCATAGTAAGCAAATGTATATTTATTCCCTATGTGGTAATGCTATAAGTAGTAATAACAACCCTATTACTTGAGACACACGCGCAGTTGCCAGGTCTGGTGTGGGAGCACGAATAGGAAGTAGCTGCTAATGTGTAAAGGATTTGTTCAGAAGACAAGGAAAATTTTTTTGAATTAGATATTTTAATTGTTGAACAACTTTATAAAAACTAAATTGTGCATTTTAGATAGTGACTTTATGGTGTTATATTTCAATTTAAGAAGTTCAAGTCATGTTTGTTAATTATTCTGACTAGTAGAGAGGCAAATCATAAATTAAAGAAACAAGAGAAAGACATACAGGGTTTAGATTTTAAAAATCACATGCAAAACTGCAGAATCAGTTGAACCACAGAGCCCTCTGAGCTCACAGGGAGGAAACACTGCAGATGTTAATGTTTATAGTCTTTTAGCTCTTTAGAACCAGAGGAAGACAGGATCTGGGCCTTTATTTTATCAGCCGCTGACCCACTTGTGCCTCTGAAGTCGCTGAGTCTGGACACCTCAGACATGTGCCCTGTCACACTGGAGCCTCAGGGAAGCAGCTTAGAAGGAGGAGGCCTTTTTGAATTCTACACTTTAAACAGGACACAGAGTAAGGGTGTTGTGCCATGGGAAGGGAAGGTGACAGTCTTGAAATAAACAGTCTTCTTCTTTGTAGTCCTTCTTCAATACGCAGCTGTTCCACAAATACTGATCCTTTCTAGACAGCTGAGCAGTATGAGGTGAGACACAGTTCTTGTGAGCCCCTGAGGTGGACCACAGTGTTTCTGTTTCCCATGGCAGGAAGGAGATGGCGGGAAGAAGCTTGGTTTCTAGCTCCTCTCCACCATCCTGTCTTCTATCCAGCACCCATCAGTTGCTGCTGTCTTGAGGTATCAGCCACCTTCTAGACATCTATGCAGTAGTTCTCAGGTGCACACGGCCAAAAGGCAGAGCAGGTTTAATTTGCTTTCATTATAAAGTTGTTTTTGTTGTTGTTGTTGTTGTTTGAGAATGTGCTCATTTTTATTGTGTTAGATTTGTCTCAGACTTTATTGAATTCTAGAAACACACTTTTGCCTTGTCTCAAAAATATTCCCTTAACTATTCTGACATCTCTGGATTGTTAATTTATGGAAGGTTGAACAGTGATGTGAGGGTCCATTAGGAGGGTACTCTGCACAAGCTGATGGAGTGAATCAGAATCACTCTCTTCATGTAAAACAGGAGCCACACCAGGGCACACAGAACTTAGTGCTGTACTCATCCCTGGAAAGTGTTTTTCCTCAACCCAGAGCCTACACTGCTGAGCTTGCAGGCACTGGGGCATGCTGTGGATGGAGCAGATAGACGCCTTTGTGCTGTCCCCAGGTCTCCTGGTCTTATGTGAAACTACTGCTCTCTCTCAGGTCACCCATAGGTTCTCCATTGTGCTTAACAAGTGTCCCTACTGCTTTCAGAAATAGCATCGTTCAATAAAATGTTAATATTTTTCTATCTTTTTACTTAAACTTTATTTTCTTTATAGAAAAAATATCTTAGAGAAAAAGATTGCCTACTTGACAGAATTTTGCTAATTCACACACTAATGCATTCTCGAAGAATGCCGTGTAAATAATAGTCAATAATTAGGAACATTTTTACTTAAGAGAATTGTTTTTGTTTTACGTTTGGAAAATACTCAAAGTATATAGTAACATCATGCCTTTGTTCTGTTTGGTTTGGGGTGATCTTATGAGACTTGTCTCATTTTGTAATCCAGGTGGAATCAAACTCAAATCCTGCTTCATCCCTCCGAATGGTAGGATTTCGAGTCTATGCCTTTATGCCTGGAAAGGCCGAAGGTTTTTGTGAAGACAAATTAGGGTTTTAATTTGTCTTCTGTTTCCTTTAGGGGCTCATGAAGAAATTCATTCGATGTTCTACACGAGTTACTGTAGGAACTATTAAAAAGTTTTTAAGTTTAAAACTAAAACTTCCAAGTTCTTATGAGGTAAGTAAAATATCTAATTGTGATTATTTTCATGATTCTGATCTGTAGTAAAATTCTAGAAAAAGGAGTAAAACAAAAATATATTCAAATTAATTTTTGTTTAGAAAATGATTATTTTCATGTTTTAAAATTAATTTTTAGAATTTAGTATTTCTGTAAAATTTTATAACAGTGTATCCCAAGTGAATCACATTCATGCAGCTGTAACTAAGGAGCTATTTGAAAATTTTATATTAATAGTCTCAAAACAAGTTGCCTAGCTAAATGAGTTCTTTCCTTCTTATAATGTTTTATAACGCTTTAAGATATGTCACTTCTTAAATTGTTTTGTTTTACTGTTTGACAGCTTTACATATTTATATAGGAATTTAAGTTGCTTCTTTTTACCCACCCCTCTCATATCACCACCTTTGTGGGTTGGAGTCCTTCTCGGTACATCTGCTCCTTTTTGTTGTGGTCCATTGAGTTTAGTAAGTTTCTTGCCTGAGCCTGAGTACGAGGTCATTTACTGGAGCAAGGACAGATTGCATTGGCCACACCACTGAAGGAAACGACCCCTTCCCAAGCAACCACTAACTGCCAGTTGACACCCAGTGTGCAATTAGGCCTCATAGACTCCGTCTGTGGTGAATTGTTTCTTATGCGAGTCTTGTATGGATAACTGCAGCTGCAGGAAGTCCATTAGTGCAGTGGCTTTGTCATGTCCAGAAGACTTCTTTTGCTGTCCATCTCCCTGGATCTTAATCTTTCTGTCTTCTTTTCTTTGGTGTCCCCTGAGCCTCGGAGGACACAGCACAAATCTTAAGTGGCAAACAGGAGATGGGTCCGAAGTATAGGCAGGCTCCCTGTTCTCCAGGTGAGCTGGAGCAGGGGCCAGAGTACAGGCCCCCTCTGTGGAAATGTGTGGCTGTTACTAATGGAGAGCTAAAGCACGACCCTGGCAGACAGGAGTCTGCAGCTGAGGAAGCATCTGATCATGAACCTAATGGAAATGGTTCGTGTGACTTTTGGCTAATTTTAAAGCTTATATATTACCACAAATTGTTAAAATATTAATAATTTAGTTCATATATCCAATATAATTGGGGCTATATTTTGTGTTAGGCTTCAAGCTCAAAATTGTAGGCTTTGTCTAGCTAGATACAGATTTATTTAAAACTCATTTTCCCAGTACACTTAAAATAAAATCTGAAGCAGTTTCTTTCACTGGAAACTAGATGACTCATTTATAGGGCTCTTTAGTAAACATTTGTTGTGTGTGCTTTGTTGAAAGTTCTTGTGGCCTTTTGAGGCTTTGGGGGTGGTTTCCTACAGGAAACCACCTAAAAGAAAAGGGAGACTGTGTAAGTACAGTTGGGTTTTTGTTTTGTTTTGTTTTTTGGTTGTTGTTGGTCGGTTGGTTAGTTTTAACATTTCATACAAGGTGAGGAGAATCCACAAGTAAGTACATCAGAAAGACCAGATAGCCCTGAATACACAACACACAGATCTGTGCCATAGTACTAATGTTCTATCTCTTTGACCCCAAACTAAGGAGAAGATAAAACTCCTTTCTATCCTGGGAACTTCAGAGGATTCTGAGGTGGATTTAGAACACGGTTGCTATACTTTCTTCTCATTCAGTAAGAGTGATCCCACTGTCTGTCTAAAACCTGCAGGGTTGTAGAAACATGAACCAAGGTAGTTGGCATTGCATTTATAAATTGTGTATCAACTTGAGATATAGTTGTGCGGCACAAGATAAGTGCTGTTTCATCTGAACTATCGTTGTTCTGTGACAAAGTGGTTTTCCTAGAAATAGTCAGTGATGTTATAAAATTGGGACTTTTATGTTGGTATAACTAGCTTGATCTTTTAGAATTTGAAAATGTATAAAAATGTATAAATTCAAATTTTCTTTGCATTAATATATTTTAATTCTTCCTTTTAAAGCTGGATGTGCTGTGCAATGGTGAAATTATGGGAAAGGATCATACTATGGAATTCATCTATATGACAAGATGGCGACTAAGAGGAGAAAATGTAAATTGCTTTAAACTTACCTATCTGTATATCTAGTTATATATTATTACATAATTTAACAGTATCATTTAGGAGCATTAAGAAATTAGAAAGATTGGTTTGGAAAAGAGAAGAAACTGATTCCTTTTTATTTTCCAGCACCTAAAAATTGGTCGAAGTACAAGGCCAATGTCTGTGCTAAATATTTGAAGATGAATTTTTAAGTCCAACTATAAACATGTCCAGGATTCTGCTAGCCTGAGAACAGAGATGACATACTTTTAAAGCCTGGTGTCTGCAGGAAATGTGAAAGTGTGAAGTAGGATCAGGGAGATGCCATTCTGCCCTGACAGCACTAAGAGTCAGTAAGGGGAATTGTTGGGGTCTTGATGGAAAGAAGAGGTGGTGGGGTTGCGTAAAGACTAAAAGAGTAATGTCAGGCTTGAGGAAAGGGGGCTTAGTGGAGGTCTCTGCTGCCAGAAGTAGATGACATGCCTTGGGCCCTAATGATGAGGGAGAAAGTGTTCACGGGAGTAAACCTGAGATCAATTCCCCCCTTCCCTCCCAAAAAAGAGTTTTGTGTTTAGATATCTTTGCTTAGGTTCACTCTTAACTTGAGTCCACCTGATCCGGGAGTGTTAGGAAATGTGAGGCACTGTGTGTAACTGTGACACAAGCCTGTCTGTGGGAATCAGGAGCACTGTAATGCTACCAGCTTGTCCTCGTGAGCTGAACGCATAAATGGACCTAAGGCTCATGAGAGAGCTACCCATCAGACATTAAGTCTGATGCTTGTAGTCACTGTGTCATGTGTTAAACACTGATGTTTCTCCCAGGTTTATTACATTTTCTTAGGAAAATGTTAATTATGAAACACAGCACAATGCTGTTACCTCACACAGTATAGATAATGTAGGAGTTACAGGATTAACAGATGTCTGTCTTTCTTCAGAAGAAAATGTGATGATATAAAAATACTGAAGCACCTAAGTTCCTAAATCAGAGGGTTTTGTTGTTTTCCTATCTGGTTTTCATGTCAATGGAAATATTCTCTGTGAGGCTCCGTATTCTTGAGGGCAAAAATACCTCAAGACCAGGAAGGGAACATTACATTCTAGTGTCAGTCACTTGCTAGTTGTATGCACTTGAAGAACTCATCAAACTACCTTAGGGTTCATCTTTTTCCTATAACTGTCTGGCATAAGGAATGACCTGACTTGTTTATAGGCTTTAAGGGCTGCATGTACATTGCCTTCATTTAATTGAGCCTGGAATGTTTCAGATGCCAGGTGCACACGGCAGGGGTAAGTCTGCACTGTTAGAAGCAGATACTCTAATTCTACAGTGATGTTACTGCAGTAAATTTAATTTTGTCTTTGCTAGTTCAGTGGGCATTTCAGCATGTGAGTGCTGGAACTCATCACTGTGGCTCACCCACCCTAAAGGTTAAAGGTCACTCACTATAAGCCCTTTCCTGGGGCTTGCTTGTCACCGTTCTCTTGCATGCCCATTTTTATATGTCTGGATGGAGAGTATCTTTTGAAGAAAGATTTCAGTATTTAGCTGAAGCTGTCCTGGAGCTCACTATAGTACAGGCTGGCCTGAAACTAATATTTTTCTGCCTCAGCCTCATTAGAAGCGTAGGCCAAGAAGCTCGGTATTGCCAGTTATTTTAAGGCCAAAGCATGAAAGGGTTGATTTGTATAGGCTTTCTACTAACAGATTGCCAACTACTTCAGTCTTTATGCAATTACGTTTCTGAGCACACATTTTTGAAGTTTCAGGTTTTTAGTTGAGATATACTTTTATTAAAGTTAGGCCTGGAGAGATGGCTTATTCTTCTCTAACCATGTTTTTTTGCTAGTGTTCTGTGTCTCTGGTTTTGAGATTGGTTGTCCCATCCATGCTAGCAGGAGGCTGGGATGTGTGCAGATTGAGTATTCTACTGCTGGTGTTGCTAACTAGCTTAGCCTTGGGCTGGGCTCAGCCAGTTCCTGCTCTGGTAGCTGCTATATGTTCTCTTACTTGCTTCTAGTATTTGTTACAGTGAACATTCTAGTCCACTTGGAATTGATTGTTTTATACACAACAAAGTTAACAATATAGCTTATTCTGAAGGGGTTTTTTTGTTTTGTTTTGTTTTGTTTTGTTTTGTTTTGTTTTGTTTTGTTTTACCAAAAAATAATACAATTCATTGAACAACCCAGACTGGTCCTCGTTGCTTGAAAATGCTGCCGTTCTCTGCACGTGCGCGTGTGTGCACACATGTGTGTGTGTTTCTGGACATTCTTTTGTTTTACACAGGCATTATTCTGAACTAGGACTGCACACTTTATAAAAGAATGCAGCTTTTATAAAGTTCCTGAGCTATATTTGTACCTACTGAAACAAAACTTACTTTTTAAAATCATGTAACATCTCAGACAAGCTTTTGAATGGGTTTGTGATTGGCACTGGGCTGTATTTCTGGATTGCTTTGGTTGTAATGGCACCTGTGCAGTTTTTCGTTCTCGTCTGTGTTGTGGAATGTGTGCTTGTGAATTCTGCCCTTGGTTGAGTCTGTGACTCAGTGCATAGCTTCCATTCCTTTTACACTGGAGGAATGGTAGTCATGAGTCTCTGTTTGAGTCATCGGCCTCAGGCAAGAGTCTGTGTCCCTCCCTCATGCTGTTTCTGTCCTCTCAGAATACTGTCAGGGAAGTGAGCTTTCCTTCCAGTTCTGCAGTTCTGGAGGACCCTTTACAGCTCCCAGCATCTGTGGCCACGCTTTCCTTTTCCCAGGTTAGGTCTCCTTTTAGCTTAGCCCCTTTAGAAAAGATGAACATAGGTGGCTTCTGCCCTTTCTGGACCTTGTCTCCATCATGATAAATTATTTTTAAATATCTTTATCCTTATGAATAAAAAAAAAAAACACCTGGTCAAACAGCTGCTATAAATTTTATAGTTTATAACAATTTTTCTTGATGATCGCTATGCTAGATGTTGGAGTTGATCTGTTGTTCACTAGTAGGTAAATATTTAACAGTAGTGCTTCTTAAATCTTAGTGCAAATACAAATGATCTAGGGACGGTGACGAAGTACAGTTGTACTCAGTAGCCTTGGAACAGGCTTGAGACTCATTTCTAAAAAGCGCCACTCTTGTGTGAACACCTGATTCTTAGGTCAAGAATTTGGGAGACATGATCTGTGGCCAGGTTTCTTCTGTGACTTCTACAGATTGACAGTATGGAGCTAGAGATTCATGTTTCAGTAGGGTAACTAGCTCATCTAACGATACCATCAATGTAGTATTTCTCTTCATAATGCCATGCCAGTGGTCATAAGTTTTCTGAGACATGAATGGGTTCATATATGTTGCTAGCAACTTTTTTCTCATTTGATAATATGTGTCATGGAAAACAATTATATTTTGAAGTTACTCTTTTTAATATATTCAGTTTGTGTGACTAACATAATTTAACTATTTTGGTGGACATTGAGATTTTGTTTCATTTTTAACATTACAGGCAGTGCAGTATCTATTCCAAGACATGTTTTCTGAAAATGCACAAATATTTATTGCCTAGATTGCTAGGTTTACAATGGACTAACTTTTACATTGTGAGAGTTTGCCAGTTGTCCTCAAAAAGATTTCACAAGTTGTAGTCATGCCAGTAATATGCAAGAGGGCCTATTTTCTGACTTCTTGATACTCGTATTAGGAATGCAACTTCCCTGTGAGTACTTATATTCATTGCCTTGTTATCATGAGTTTGACTTCTAGGAACTGCTGTGTTTTGAGCACTAACTTTTTGCTATATATACTGCAGCATTTTTTCCCCAGCTTTGTCTTGCCTCCCTGTTTTTCCTCAATTTTGAAGATCCTTAAAATTGTGACAGTACCTGTGTAGGAAAATTTAGTACTTAGCAGAATGCCTAATGTAATAAATGTAAAAGGGTGGACCTCGGTCCACTCTTCCTGCATTTAGTGAGAGCAACTGAGAGCAGCTTTCTGCTCAGCCTCAGCTTTTATCACAGGCCATGTTCTTCTGCTCACCTTGTGGGTAGGTTGATACCCTCAAGTCAAACTAGCTGCCTTTTCCCAGATGCTCCTTGCTGCTTCCACCCCTTCCTGCAACCTCAGCCACTCCAGCACCATGACCGTCTCTCCTTGCTTGATTTGCAGTCAAAGGAAATCAGTTTTAGGAAAGCAAACAAACACTTCTGTTTTGACTGATTCCAAAGAGATTAATAGGAAAAAAAATTAATAAAATAATTTTTTCCATCTTAACTGTATTTCTATTGAGTGATTTTTGCAACTTGCATAGTCATACAATGTAGTAGGTTAAAGCTTGGGGACCCATCTAAGTCAGTACAGGACAGCAGTTCTAGGCGGCCTTAGAGCATAGTGATGAGCACTGTGCAAAAACCAGGACTAACTTCCAGAGAAAACTTGGTGAAAATTTACAATCTTTAGATCCTTCAGAAGTCTGCTTTGGGAAGTTAAATTTTTCCTGATTAATTTAAACTTGTATTTTTATCTGTTTAGTTTTTCAGTATTTATACATTTAATTTTTTTCTATCAGGAAGAGTATGCAGTGTGAAATATATATATAACTTAAAGTATAAGTTACTAAAACTGCAAACATGAGTATCAAACAGACTCAAGGAGCTCACCAGTGCTATCAAAACAAACAGGAGTGGGGACCAAGCACCTAACCTGAGCGGTATGGAAGTAGATCATTCCTCCCCCCCCCCCCCCCCCCAGGGTTCCATGTCTCCTCAGAGTTCCGATATTACATGGTACTGCTGTCAGAGTAGGTGATGAGGAACCATAGGAAAGATTGATCAGGAACAGATGCAAGAAAGATGGTGCCAGCTCTAATAAGAAATGAAGATTCCCAGAAACCAGCATCAGGAAAGGAAATGAAAAGGGTAGGTTACCATCTTGGTAGTTTTAGAATATTAGTAACAAACAAACAGACAAACAAAAAAAAAAAAAAAAAACCTTCATAGGCAAATGCTAAAATTTCTTAACAATAAAATTTACCAGTCACCAAGTTATTAAGTATTTCCCCTCCAAAAACCCCTACTATTCCTCAGTGTTCATTTAAATTACTCATGTTGGCACTTATGTTTGAGTTAAACTACTTTAAATAACAAGTTTTAAATGTGTCCCGTTGTGGATGCCTCTTATCTGATGAGTTCATCTCCTCCGCAGTTTCGCTGTCTGAACTGCTCAGCCTTGCAAGTCTGCTCTCAGGATGGCACTTTGCATCAGGTAAGAGGCACTCATGACGGGACACACGACCATCACAGTGCCCTGTGCTGACCGTCCCCATCCCAAACTTAGACGACCATCACAGCGCCCTGTGCTGACCATCCCATCCCAGACTCAGACATGTCACTTTGTAAAGTCTTTTCAGACTTACATAACAAAGCTTCCCCTTACTTCAGTTGTCTTGTGTTAACCATTTTACTGAACTAAAAATGAAGTTATGTCTTAACAGCCATTATTGCAGCCAGGCTGACTGTGAGGGGCTGATGTTGCCAGCCCTTACTGTTGCTCTGGGATACATGCTGGCGTGACTGAGATCAGTTAGTAACACAAGAGCCTTAGACCTTACGGAAAGCTTGTCTAATAAACGTACATTTAGGTGCTGGGGAGATGACTGAGAAGTTGAGAGCACTGACTGCTCTTCCAGAGGACCCAATTTTGATTCCCAGCACCCACATCAGGTGGCTCGTAACAGCCTGTAATTCCAGTTCCAGAGCACTTGAGACCTCTAGGCTCCACAGACAGCCTCACTGATATGCACATGCCTACACATACATATGTTTAAAAATAAGTGTTTTTTTTAAATGGAAAAGAAAAGAGTCCGTATGCAGTGTAGTAAACACTACTGTATTACTAAGCGCGGAGATAATGTGCTCAGTCTTAATGGATGATTCACAGTACTTCTTTAAAAATAACCCATTGTCCTTTTCCCCAGTAATTAATAAGAAAATCAGTCTAGTTCCTAGTAGTCAGCAACTAGTAAACTTCAGTGTTGCAGTTTACATTTATGTCTTTAAAGAACACTGTAAAGTCACTAAGCAGAAATTTTAATGAGCAGCATATCTAGATTTTTGCTTAGTCTTTTGGTTACTGCTGTGATATGGGAGTCTCAATTCACCATTAAGATAGGAACTTTTTGATACACGCTTTAGACATGAGGTAACCTGGCATACCATCTAGAAAGGCAAAGAGAAAGCGACTCGGGAAGGAAGTTGTCCTCCTTTGATTATACACATGCCGGAGAGGGCTGAGCACACAGTTGTTGACTTAGTGAAGTTTGTAAACTCCGAATGGTAGAAGTGATAAATCATAGTAATAAAACCTTGTCCGGAGCTGTAACCCATGATACCTGGCTTCCACTTTTTGTCTTCATGTTCATATCTGTTTTCTGAGAGATGAAGTTGCTTTTTAGATATGATCCTAAGTGATGAAGAGCCCTGGGATAAGGCAAATCCACAACTGCACCCTCACTTTCTTTTCCTTCTTCACCTCTTCATTGTGGACAGCAATATTGTAAAAAAATTAAAATTTGAGTTTAAATTCTAAAATCATTTTCCAAAGGAAGCATCAATATGACAGTAAAACCTGACCGAGAATTAAGTTAGAAAACTAGCACCCAGGGGCCAGAGAGGAGGCACTGGCATTCAGAGGGCTAATTGTTCTGGCAGAGAACCAAAGTTCAGTCCCCAGCACCCACCAGCCAGCTCCAGAGAACGGACATCCTCTTCTGGACAGTTTGGGCACCTCTATTCACATGTGCACAGACCCACACACAGGCACACACACACAGTTTAAAGTAAAATCTTCCAAAACACTACTTTGAATATAATATAGAAATATTAAATAGCAGACTAAATAATGTACTAAAATATCACACTAATAGGATAAAGTCAAGACCTGGTAGAATTTTTTATCAGAAACGTCAGAATGGCTTAATATTGTAGGGGAGACAGGCAGATAATAAGCTAGTATTTTTTTATGGGATTCTCTAAAACAAAAATCACTGGATGCTGAAAAGATGTTTAATAAAATTCAGCATTGGTACTAATTTTTCTACTATTTTGTTAGTTTGACTTTTTTTTAATCTATTTTAATTTTTTTTATTAATTACACTTTATTTACTTTGTATCCCCCTGTAGTTTCCTCCCTCCTCCCATCCCAAACCCTCCCTTCCTCCTCCTTCTCCATGCATGCCCCTCCCCAAGTCTGCTGATAGGGGAGGTCTTCTTTTACTTCCTTCTGATCCTAGTCTGTTAGGTCTCATCAGGAGTGGCTGCATTGTCTTCCTCTGTAGCCTGGTAAGGCTGTTCCCCTCTCAGGGGGAGGTGATCAAAGAGCAGGCCAATCAGTTCATCCCAGAGACAGTCCCTGTTCCCACTGTTATGGAACCCACTAGGAGACTGAACTGCCATGGGCTACATCTGTGCAGGGTTCAGGGATATCTCCATGCATGCTACTTGGTTGGACTATCAGTCTCAGGGAAGACCTATATGCCTAGATTTTTTTGGATCTGTTTCTCTCCTTGTGGAGCTCCAAATTAAAAACTGAAGCAATTACTTTAGACAGATTCTTTACCTACATTTACCAATTAATATTTCATATTTTTGTCTCCTCTTTGTCTCCTTGTTCCTTGTTTTTGTCTCTTAGTTTTTTAAAAAATAAATGGTTAAAAATAAGTCAAATATAATGGTAAGTGATCACAAAAATTTTTAGTCAGATTTCCTGAGAACAAATACCTACTTCACGCTTGTCCAGAATTCTTTTTCACACACAGACTTTAAATAGCATCTTAGAGAGATGGCAGACTTTCGTGACTAAATTCAGAAGTTACATGTAACTCTGCACACTTTTACAAGATTTGATTTGGCTAGGCCTGTTAATCCTGAAGTTGGTGTTTCTGGTCGGTCACATTTTTCAGGTGAGCAATGAATGGGGCACCCCATCCATGTGCAGCAGTGCAGCATAAAGCTAGGAGCTCAGACCAGGTGCTGGCCTGTGCGGGCATGCGGAGAGAATTGCTCCAGAATTGTTCCAGAATTAGCTGCAGCACAGGAGCCCCTGAGGGCAGTGCTGCCAAGGCCTGTGGCAGAAAGGCTCCTCAACAGTGGTGAGCATGCTAAACATGCACAGGATACTCTGCCAGCCCTGGGGCTGTACACGTAAACATCAAACAGCTTTTTTCTCATAGAACTTAGACACAAAAAACAAGGACATTTTAGTGTCAGAAGGAAGCTTGGTAGATAGACATAAGTAAAGAGCTGGGTCTATGTCTTAGTTGGTAATGTGCTTGTTTCAAAACCATGAGGACCTCGTTCAACCCTAGACAGAACCCATACAAACAAGCTGGCCAACCTCAGTATCTGGAGGCAGAGACAAGGGCATTCCTGTGATACACCAGCCAGGAAGCTATATCTAACTCAACTGGCTAGCCCCAGGTGAATGAGAAGCCCTGTCTCAAAAATAAAGGTGGGTAGTTCCACAAATACATACATACATACACATACACACATATACATACATACACAGACTCTCTCACACAGAGAGAGATGGGGGTGGGAGGATCATGTACGACTATGACCTCAAAATTCTGACTGGGCTTGAGAAATAGAGAATTTTGTGCCCAACTGACCAAGTTCTGAGCTGCTTCTGTAAGACCAGAGTAAAACTTAAGATGAATACAAGTAAGCAATTAAAAAGCAGAATATGGCGAAGACCATTGGAACCTTGCAAGCCTGAGACTTCTGTGCTGGTCCATTAGATCAGAAGTGTCACCTGCTTTATTCTTGAGATGAGAACAAGGCTCCGGGCATCTTTCCCCACTGTCCTCTCCTGTCCTAACTGAAGTTAGTACATAGCAGCATCGAGTCATCTTAGTGTATGAATGCTGAGAGTACATCTCAGGATGGTAGAATCTCAGTGTGACCGTTTTCTATGTTAAAGAATACAGTATTCTCTGTACTGAAGGTTTCACAGCCACCTACCCAGAGATAGCAGTCCAGTGGTCAGTGGCCATCTCAGCCTTTTCTTGATTTCTTAATAGTTAGCTTGATAGGTTTCAGTTAAAAAGTGGGAACCTGCATATTCTAGAACAGGAAAATCGCTGATTCTCCATACTGCATTCTGATTATTTGGTTCTCTGTAGTAGTGGAAGGTGAAGTTAAGGCAGATGGAGAGGGAAGTGTCTGCTTCTATCTTCAGGAGGCTCTTTCCTCCCTAGGACTTGTATAGTTAGCTGGGCACAGCACCAAGGACAATGAAAAGCTTTTCATTACATCATGCAGTAGCTGTGATCAGAGATAATATTGAAAGGAGGCAATCACCATTTTATGTCAGTTGGTAAATGTTTTTCAATACTTAAAAGCTTATTTTAAAATAAGTCTTAAATACCGAAGGAGAGGGTATCAAATCTGTGAACAGTGTTGTGGAAAGTCTAGTTTCACTGATTTGCAGAATAGGGCCTCTTAGGTAGTTCAGTAAGTTTTCACCGCCAGCAGCAGCCCTGGGAGAGTCCACGGCTCAAATAGCCCCAAAGAGTTGCTGGAGGGACGCCATGCAGCTTGTAGTCCTCCTCAGGCCTCTGTAGGAAGAGAGGGAGAGGTACTGATAATAATTTCAATCTTAAATGACAACTTAATTTTAATCACTTTAATTTAATGACGATTTTAATGGGTAATCGCTATTACAGGGAAATATAAACTCCCAGTTCTTCAAGGCTTTTCTGTATAAACCATTGTTTTTACGTAAACAGTCTTACTCATCATTTTGTTTTTGTTTTTGTTTTTTTGTAGTCATACCCTATGGTATTGCAGTATCGACCAAGAATTGATTTTGGGTAGGCCAAGTGGCACAGACTGCACTGAATGAACCCTGCACTATTTGTTTACTCGTCGACAGATTGCACAGTGAGCGGTGTGTGGACTTGAGAGATACGATCTGATTTTCAGCATGCACATAAGGCCATTGTCTGTCTCTAAACTGTCAGTTTCTTTCATGTTGTTTCTATTAGGAGCAATTCAAGTGCCCTTCTGCTACTGACCGTCTGCATAAGATACTCATGCTGTCTCAGTGTGCAAGGCGCGGCTGAAGTCAGTTAGGTGTGCAGCCGTGACTCTGCTTTCTCAATATTTTGCTTGCCTGTTGCAAGATTGTTCTAATGTTAATTACACTAGTAAAATGGCTCAATCCTTGTGGTGTTGCAGTTTTCACATACTTAATACTTTTATTCTTGTTAAAATAGAGTACTGTACAAGAACCTAGTATAATTATATCTTGAAATTATTTTGTATAAGAATATATTTAGAAAAGTGGTTTCTGAGCCACTGCCCTATTCTTGGTAAACTTTTATGTAAAAAAGAATAAACAACCAAAAAAAAAAAACCCAAAAAACCAAAATGCCAGCTTATTCTTGAGTGTGCAAGTCTTTTGTGAAGAATTCCAGTTATTTTTTTGACCAGAGCACATTGCAATTGGAGATGTTCTAAATGTCTGGGCAGTCTACCGTTGCACAGAAAGGCGTGTTAGCCCTTAACGGTGGAACATATGTGACTTGGACAACTGAAGTTCATAATGTTGGCAGCTGACCGTATTGACTTCTACTAAAATTAATGTGGGAGTACATTAACATTGTTACTGTCTGAGGGCAAGTGGGTGTTGCTTTACAAGCGTGCATTCATTGTGTAGCCCATGTTCTGTGTGCCTCATTGCATTGCTGATGTCATCTTATGAAAGCATTTTTCTTTTAAGTTGGCCTTAGGCATGTGTCCTGGTATGCAGTGGGCTATTGTAAAGTGGTTTTAAATACCGGGATATTTAGATAACATTCGCTCTTTTATGGATTTCCAAAGTCTCAAGTTACCGATCCAGAGTGTTCACTGCATATCACATTTCCAAACCATGTACACAGAACAAAACAAACACTGGGTGGTAGATAAATACAATAACCAAAATTAGTGGTTTGGGAACACTTTATTCTAGAGACTGTAGTAACCAGGCGAAGAGGGATTATTGTTTAAACTGTGAGTTCATTGTAGGTGAGTGTGTTAGAAGTCAGAACTATGATGATGTCCTTGATGTTGGCAGTTTAGTTAAGTCTTCCATTCATTTTGAAATTAGCCTGCAAGTCCGAGTCCTCTGTGACCTTATTACATGAAAACATGTTAGGTCTTGTAAAATAAATAGTTATTTCAAGAAAGAAAACTGTGGAGCATGTCTATTGGTTGTTTTGAAAAAGCTAAGTTCTGAGAAGTAGGGGGAAAATTAAGAAAATGACTTGTTTTAGAAATTATGTAAGAGCACTGTGTTTTTTTTAATGCTGTGAACACAGGTGATCCACGTTTTTTTAGTAAAATACTTCACAAGTGAATGCTTTCTGAATTCCAGAGTACTTCATAGAAATAAACATTGTACAGCGCTAAGAAATACACAAAATACAGTTCAGTCTTGGTGTCTTTCATAATATAAAAGGCTGAAAGTTTATGATTTTTTTTTATATTTTTTTAAGTCAAAAAATCTGTATTAAAGTTTGCTGCATTGGAAGGCCACAGCAGATTTTTAATTTCATCTTTTTCTAATGCTGTTTCTAGAAGAACTCACTAGCAGGATTTAAGAGGCAGTTAATTTACTCAAGTTTAAGAGAAGACCATTATACTTGACTAAAAACCTGAATTTATTGTCTAACTTCAGGAATTATTTGGCTGTTTTGCAAAACCCAGTTCCTAGTTTATCCCTTAGAAAATTTTAAAGATTCTGCAGTTTGTCACAGTTAGATAAATGGGTTTTACATATGAAGGTTAATGTTAATTGACATAAGTCAAAATCAATTTTGAAAGCCACACACTAAGACTTAGCTGTTTGGCTCCTCAACCAAGCCTTGAGGCTGTAGGTGAATTTGTATACAAAGTCTCTTTACATTTTGCTTGTTGCCTGATCATATGTAACAACTATTTTCTTTTTTTTATTATTAATTACAGTTTATTCACTTTGTATCCCAGCTGTAGCCCCCACTCTCGTCCCCTCCCAGTCTCATCCTCCCTTCCTTCCCTCCTCCTATACCCCTCCCCTAGTCTATTTGACCTTAGCCTTTCAAGTCTCATCAAGGCTGGTTGCATCATCTTCCTCTGTGGCCTGGCAAGGCTGCACCCCCCACCCAGGAGGAGGTGATCAGAGAGCCAGCCACTGAGTTCATGCCAGAGACAACCCTTGCTCCCCTTACTAGGGAACCCACTTGGAGACAGAGTCTATGGGCTACATCTGAGCAGGGGTTTTAGGTCCTCTCTATGCATGGTCCCTGGTTGGAGTATCAGTCTCTGCAGGGGCCCCAGGGCCCAGTATTTTTGGCTCTGTTGCTCTTCTTTTGGAGCTCCTGTCCCCTTTATCTCCCCCTTCTTTTATAAAATTCCATGCACTCTGCCCAAAGTTTGGCTATGAGTCTCAGCCTCTGCTTTGATACCTCAAGGCACTTTCTCATAAAATTAGTAACTATTTTCTAAGGGATACATAGGAAACAGGAACCACAAAGCAGTTTTATAAAAATTCCTTTATTTAATGCCACTGCATTGATGTTTTCACTGAGATGCAATAATAGACTGTGCCAAAGCATACCATTAAGGACATCTGACATCATATGGGCCGTCGGCCTCCTCTGCTGTATCAGCCAACTGTGGAACACTTTCTTGTCTGGTGTGGCATGCCCCGAATTCCCACTCAGTTGCACTTGCCAGGAACCTGCTGTAGGGAACACAAGCAGGCACTGTTTGTGGCCAGCTTTATAGCTATAGGGTTAGTTTAAAAAAATAAATAAATAAACAAACAAACAAATGAAAACAAAAAAAAACCATTTAAATAATTTGCAGAAATAACTGTCTGAATCTGTAAACCCAAGAATAAATGAAAGCTACTGTTCAACCTCCAATTTCTTAAGCAATAAACTAAAGAACTTTACTCCAAAAAATATTGTGTTACCAGTTTTACCTGCCTTAAAAAAACAGATATTAAAGGGCCGTGGAATCTTGGATATAAAGAATACCTGCTGTCTGTCATAAGAATCACTTTAAATTGCAGTAATGACATCAGTTAATAGAGATAAAAATGTCCTTTTTTCTAGCTTAAACTAAGAGGCTCATCAAAGAGGCTACATTAAGCCTGAGGTTTGGGTGACTAGAGTAATGTTTTTGACAGCTTTTAAGTTCTTTATTCACTAAGCATATTCCACCTTGTGCAGATGTAGTGAGTTAGCACAAATGTTAATTGAAACTGAGACCTTAAGAAGAAACAGCTGTGTTATAGACGATGGTGCGCTGTTAAGCCTCACTGTTAAGACAGTGCCTCGATGCCCAAGTGCAGCCCTGTTGGAGGTTCCCTGCATCCGTCTCCGGTCAGCTGCACCTGTCTCATGGTTTCCTATCCAAATGGGCACTTAAAGCTAAAATAAGAGTTTTGTAAGAACATAGACATCACCAAAGACATTTTACTGTGTGTTGGAGACGGAGTGTAACCCGATTGTGAAGAGGCAGTACTAGCCTTGACTGGTTACTAAAATATTAGCAGGGAGGGCACTGCAGGAAGTGTTCTTGGTGGGAGTCAAGTGTGTCTTTCTTGCCACAGTCAGCATATTTCCCTTCAAATACGTTCACTTTTTTTTTTTTCAGTACCATCTGGTAGGTCTTAGAAAATCCTCAAATATGAGAAAAAAATAAACAATACAAATATCCTTTCCATGAAAATGGGATAAATACAAACTTACAAAAACAATTTCCGTTTCAAGAAGCTTTTTATCCCATGGAGATGGTGTGGAGGAAATCGGACCTGTTCAGCTCCACTGAAGACAAGCTTTAGTAGAAGCACAGACAGGCCCGCCTGTGTGGAACACAGCGCTGTATAGGTGCAGACAAGCCTGTGTTGAACACAGCACATCCTACTGGATTGACAGAAGTGGTTTTGCTGTTTGTAAAAAAGCAAAATTCCATAGGGCCCCTGATTGTTTTGCTTTAAAAGTGACGGCTTCTCAGCAGGCACTTTATGGAAACTAAACTTAGCCATGTGGCCAAATTCTGACAAAATGGAGCCCTGGAAAATGTCCCAGTATGCTGTTCTTTCTTTGGGGTTGATGATCTGCTCTTCCGCTGCTGCTGAGGTTAAGCCAGCCTGAGGTAAAGCCCTGCAGAGTGGCAGAGCGAGCCCCACCGTCCTGTGCAGTGTGGGAGCAAGTGCTGCACCCCTGAGCCACACCCCTCAGCCATTCCTCTGATGAAGTAGGCATTCTCTAGAAATCTAAGCTCTATACCACTAAAATATCGGTATGAATTGGCCAAAACCTCTTTTCTGGATTAGAATAAAAAACTTGAAATGCTGTTAACCACTGATTTCAGTGTGTAAATCCTCTGGAGAGCAATAAGGGACAGAACCTGTCTGCTGGGTCTGGTTCATGAAAAGTTGAACAGTTGTCAAATGCACTAACAACTCAAACACCCTTCAAAGCCCAGAATCACCGGTTGCTGGATTTACTTGAGGAGCTCTGCTCAAGTGTGTTTTTTCATCAAAAACATGGGATTAAGATAAAAAACAAAAAAAACCCACAGACTGCCCTAGACAGTAGGGACTTTATTGTTTGAGTGTTAAGCTGTAGTGTTTCTCAGGTCATTTGAAACTGCTTCTCTTCCTGGAAATCGATTTTCACAAAGTTTACTGGCCATTATGTTATGTTTTCTAGTGGGATTAAAATGATTGGGCATTTCTTCAGAAAATGATAAAAGTAAACTTCAAAATAATTGCTTCAAATTCTCATGCAAGTGTGTCTATCCTCAAGCCACTTTTCCACGATCCAAAACAGCAGTTTTCCACAAATATGTTTTCATCTTAATTGTCTTTGAATCTAGAGTCAGATGTAACAGAGTATGTTAAATACTAGGCCTAGTTTTTTTTCTGTCTCTCAGCAGTTACTAGAAAAGGAACCAGCTATAATAGCACAAACGAAGACTAACCAGTGTGTTGACGTAAGTCCAGGAGCAGGGCTCTTTTCTGCACGTGCACATGTTTGGAGGTCAGCCTGGCACTGTTGGAGACCGGTTCTCTTTTGCTGTCTTTTTCAGAATGGGATTGGGGGCCCTAAGTGTCCTTATGAAGCTGTGGTCCAGGACAAGAGCGTGGGGGCGGGGGTTACATGTTCCTTCACTTTCCTGTGTCTGGCAACTCAACAGCAATCATTTCTTAGAATAGCCCTCATGGTTATTGAATCTAGCACAGAATATATTGTAAAGTTATGTTGCTAATTTTATTTTGAAATATGAAATATTTTAAGCTTTTTGTCAAAAGTGGTAACATCATACTACAAATAAAAACCTTTTTGTGGTTGTAAGATTTAGCTTATGAATCATTCAAATTGAAGTGAAAGAATTACCAGGTCATTGTTAATGACTTAGTCTATTAAGAATCTATGTATTTTTGTAAAGGAAAAGCACTTGTAGATATTTAATCAGTACAAGATCAATGTCTGTTTTGCAGAAAGAAAATGCTGCTTAGAGATTCTCTAAATATTTTTTATTGTTGTGCTTATATGTGTTTTCTGTTGATCTATGGAATGTCCTGTACAAACTGTGTAACTGTACTGTTGAGCTGGATACATTTTTTTTAATTCCTGGCTTAGCCATGTATATTTGACCATGTTGGAAATAGTATCTTTGTTATTAAATTTTTGATTGCATATTTATTGTTTGCCTGTTAATGTTACATGGTATAGACCACTACCTCTGTTAAAAATGTTTAAGTGCAATTTCCAAAGCAAGTTTTATTGAGATTTACTGAGCATTTGAGATTATAGATAAGACTGTTAAGGAGCTTTTCTAAAGAGCTGGCCCCTTAACTAATATTTAAGGTGTCTATACACACACACACCAAATTATTCAAACCCAGGGAGTCTTTAGAAAAAGTAATTATGCATTAAAGAGGCCCACAAGATTTGAAAGATTTTTTTTCCTCCACCAGTTAGAGAACTTGACTTTGAGCTTTCCTGGGCTGGTTTCTTGGCTGGTTCATTGGAGGCTTTTTGTTTTGTTTTGTTTTGTTTTGTTTTGTTTTGTTTTTAGGTCTTAACAGCAAAGACCTAAAACCATTATGACCTAAGGGTTATAATAGCTGGTGACACAAAGCTTGACTTGTATTTAAGGATTATACCTAAGTTTAACCCTTCTATGTCTAGTGACAGTACAAGGTTTACAAAAAGATAGAAGGATGACAATGGACACTAAGACACTTCTGATGTCACTCTAAGTGTGTCACTCTGAGTCTCTCAGGTGTATTAGCTCACTTAGTTCTGATAGCAGTGCTCTGAGGTGTGTTCTGTTAGCCTCACTGTCTGTACAGGTCAGGGGTGGTGGAACTTGAGCTCACTTGCCAGAGCTCACCAACCCAGAGGATTCAGGTTTATGTGTTTTAGCTTTGCGATCAGCCTTTAGCCATGTGTCATTGCATCCTGCATGCTACTGGCTTCAGAGGTTCTAGTTAGGTTAAGAAAGACCTCTGAGAAAGGTGTTGAAGGCTCTTGTCTGTACTTCTCTGATATGTCAGGGAACTGTGAAGGTAGCACAGCCCAGGCCGTCCACTTTCCTCACTTTCCCCGTGGTTGCTCAGAATGGGCAACGGCGTGGAGTACCGTGCCTGGGGAGTACATGGGCTATGGTGCAGATCGCCTCCTTGCATGTCACCACGAAGCAGGCCTGCTGGGAGGACAACTAGAGGACCGGGTAGTGCCATGCCCAAGCAGGAAAACACTTAGCACAGGCTGATCATCACTTTCTGCATTTGCAGTTGAGAAAGGCTGTCACAGCTTGCCTAGGACTTCACAGTATTTTCTTCACACAGGTTTGGCTACTCTCTTTAGTTTCAAAGGCCTCGGAGAGCCTTGTGCTAGGTCTGCACTTGATCAGTTCAGCTTTTTGTGTATCTGAGAATTTGCAGGTGCTGTTTTCTGGAGGCCAAGTAAAACAGTCCTTAGCATTCAAATTCCCACGATAGGGTTTGGTGCCAGAACAGCTAGTCCAGAAACGAGATGGGGAGTCATGCCCAACAAGGATAAGTGGACTACAACGCAAGAAGAGAAACTATCCTGTTCCTTCAAATTACCCTCATTGGGAAGACCCACTCTACAAGGCTCAGCGCCTCCATCCTCTCAGGTCTCTTCAAGCTTCTCCTTATAACCCTGTTCCTCCTGACAGTCCTGCTCCTTGAAGCTCTCCCATGCCAGATCCTCACCCTAAAAAGCTGTCCTCAGACAAAACTTCCTCCTCGCAAGCCCTGGCCAGCACAGCACTCCTCCTACAGATCCAACTCACCTGAAAGCCTGGTGATAACACTTTGGCCTTGCTTCTCCCAAAGCCCCAAGCTTCCCTTAGAGTCCCATCCTGTTTGACAGAACTGCACTCCTTGGCCTGCTCACCTTACAGATCCCCATCCGGAGCAGGCCCAGCCCACCCTCAAAGCCTCCTGGGAATGGCAGCATCCTCCATCTATAGCACTCTGCTTCCATAAAGCCGGTCTCATTGAAGAGGGTGGTTCTCTTCCGCAGCCTGCACTCCTGAGCAAAGCCCTGCTGCTTCCACAAGCCTGGCCTCCTCCAAACCAGGCTCCTTCCAATGCCCTGTCCCCTTACAAAATGATACAGCCCTCCTCCAAAGCCCTGCTTCCCTCCCTGAACTCTCTTCCTCCTTAAGCCACCCCATTTCACCCGGACCCTCCCCCTCCCATCACTGGAAACTGCCTCTCCTGAAGAGGAGACCCTACTGTCTCCAGCCCTCACCCTGTTTCTATGCTGGAAATAGCTCCTCCACACAAAGTTTAGTTCTCGTGCTGAGCCCTGCTCCTCACAAACACCGCCCCTCCTGAGAAGCTGTTCTGCTGGCGGGGCTGAGGGATCTGAGGTCCACTGCTTGCTGTCTCTGCAGGAGAAAACCAGGGCACAGTGGTAATCGGAAGTGAGTTTGTTCATGATTTGGGACCAGAACTTGGAGGAGACACTTTCTGGATTTGTGTCTCCTGCAGTAGTGTTTACAGCTTAGAGAAAAGAGGAGAGAAAAGTCAGGAAATAAGCACATGTGCATTTTAGTCATGTGTGAAGTCAGAACTGTGAGAAGTCCATTCCTGAGTTGTTCCAACAGGCTGCAAGCTGGCCTCACCCTTGGGAGTTTCCTGGAGTTTTAGGTTTCATCTTGTAAGACTATCCATTACAAGGTTACATTGCATCTACTCGCAGATCCCTGCTTATGAAACCGCTGTCCATCGTCCTGGGAAACCCTGTTCCCATGCATGGCCTGGAGCCTCCTTGGAAGCCCTGCTCACAGGCATGGTCTGAATCCTAGGAAGCTCTGCTCACATAATGGCCTAGTCCCATCCTTACAAGCTCTGTTCATTCTATAAACTCTGGCTGCTTCCTAGAAAGCTTTTTTTTTTTTTTTCTTCTAGCAAGCTCTTACCTGCTACAAACTCCTGCGCTTTCTAGAAAGGTCTGCTCTTCGTGAGCCCCGCTTCTCATGAGATCCACTCCTACTTCAAAGCCTTGCTTCTCTTTCTAATGTAGTATGCCTCCCTACAAAGCCCCATTTCTAGCCACAAGCACCTGATCCTGTTGACATGTCATAGCCTGAAGAAATGATGTGCTCCCAAAGTCACAACCACTTAGGAGATGGAGGCAGAAAGGCTGATTGATCCCAATAGTTTGAGATCAGCCTAGGCAGCATGGACAAAACCCTGACCCAAAGAAAAATACTAAAATTTCCTGTGCCCAGCAAAAGTTCCTCTCATCCCTAGAAGTCCCAGCTTTTCCTACAAACCCCTTCACCCACTTACAGTGCCCTGTTTATCCTACGGCACAACTTGTGTCCTCTCAAGCACATTTGGCCACACTTTGTCTTCCTCTCATAGCACTTTCCTTCAAACCACTGATTTCTTTTCAGCAGATTTGGAGCCTAGACAGGGGTGTTATTGACGTGACCCAGAGAACTTGTGCATCATAACCAGAAATAAACAGTAGTGATTGAGGCTGGTTTCAGAGTGACGGATGTCCACAGGAATCTTACATATTGCCTCCTTTTTTGACACGGGCTCCGTCTCTACTTCAGAATTTCTGTGTGCTGGACATGAAAGGCCAGTGAGCATCTCTTCAGTTCATAAACACATTGTTCGTTTGGGATAAGACTGATAATAGCTGTGATGGGGCAGAATCTGCCTTCCTGCTCCCAGGCTCCCCCAGCATTGTGTAAAAGCAGAAAAGGGGGCTGGAGAGATGTGCTTAAGAATATGTGTTGCTCTTGTGAGGTGATTTCCAGCACACCTGGTGCTGGCAGCCACACATCACTCCACTTACAGGTGACCCCGTGCCCTCTTCTGACCTCACCAGCATCAGATATGCCATGGTGCTCACTCCCGGTGCAGTTCTCCAGGCTAGAAGACACAAAAGGGCCCTGGGCAATGCCAATGAGACCCAAGATTTATAGAAGTGTAGATGGAACAAGGCGATTTCTTTAATACCTTACAATAACCACCAAAACCATCACAGGTACCACCGTCATACTACCCCATCACAGCTATTATCACAACTACCACCATCAAACCACTCTCAATACTACCACCACCATTCCAAGCCCCATCACCTCCACCACCACCATCACCATGACCATCACAACCATCACCAGTACCACTACTGCCACCATTCCCACCATCGCTATAGCCATTACCACGACCACCATCATCACAACCACCACGATCAAGCCATCCCCCATCACCACCTTCCTTACCACTGCCTTCATCACCATCACTATACACAATCACCATGCAATCTGCCTGGAGGGGTGGGGAGCTGGGTTCAGCTAGAAGAAGGAAGAAAAGATCTCAAAAATTTTACTAGCCTTGTCCAGGACCTGGTATCCAGGGCTTCCCACACCACCAGGGCCTCTGCCAAACACCTTTCCTGGCCCTGCTCCAGGTAAGCTCCTGTCCAAGACAGCCCAGAGTTCTGGCTTGAAGCTTGTTCTGGGAAAGGAGCAGGAATCCAGGAGTCAGACCAGAAATGGCTTTATTCTTCATTTGCCCACTCCTGCAATATAAATAAGATGTTTCTTTGTCTTGCTTCACTAGGATATAAACTACATTCAAGCAATGACCTTTTTATCTCTTTTCACTGTCATATACCTTGTGAATAGAATAGTGATGGGTACATAATAGCATTTAGTACATAGCTTTTAAAAAAGAGAAAAATCTGTATTTAATTTTTCTTTGTTTTTTTTATTTTGATTTTTGAGACAGGGTTTCACTGTGTAAAATTGGCTATCCTGGACTCATTTTGTACACCAGGGTGGCCTTGAACTCACAGAGATCCCTTTGCCTCTGCCTCCCAGAGTGCCGGGATTACGGGTGTGCACCACCACACTCGACTTATATAAATTTTTTAATTGAGAATTTCATGTATGGTTTTGATCATATTTACCCCAACTCTTCCCCTTATCTCTTCCCACCTCCCTCTTTCTCAATGTTGTGTTCTCTCTCTCTCTCTCTCTCTCTCTCTCTCTCTCCCCCTCCATCCTTCCCTCCCTAATTTAATGACCCGTTGACTCCAATTTGTGTTCTTTATGTTCTTGGTGTGGTACCAGCTGTTGGAGTGTGGTCCACCTGCCAGGGACCACACCCTTGGAGAAAACTGTCTCTCCCTCCCCC